CGGGGGCGAGGGGAGTAAGGAGGTGATGGACGCGGTGGGTGTGGGGCCTCTGCTTTCAAAGGCGGGAGGAGGGCGCCTGGCGGGCGCAGTGGGTTAAGCGTGGGACTTGATCAGTCTGAGCGGTGAGACTGAGCCCGCGTCAGCTGCATGGTGGGCGTGGAGCCTGCTTTAAAAAAGAAAAAAAGGGGAAAAGAGGGAGGTGGATGTTGGCAATGGTCGCAAACGAAGGAAATTATTTAATACCACTGATCTGTGCATTCATAAATGGTGAAGGTGGTAAAGTTTATATGTATTTGACCACAATAAAAAAAGGAGCAGGAAAACAAATTATCAATGTGAGGAAAGAAAAAGGAATTCAATACAGGATCTGTAGATTTTTAAAAGATAACTGATAATATGAAACGGTGTCAAAAATCTGACAAATCACATAAATTGGAAAAATTCCTTGAAAAACACAACAAATTCTTCCCAAAAGAATATTTGGGAAAGATGCATGGTTCTATATTTGTTAAGGGAATTGATTTTATAATTTAAAACCTTCTTACAAAGGATATTCCAGGCCCAGATGGCTTCACTAGTAAATGCTTCCAACCATACAAGAAGAAAATTCTACCAGTGCTACACAAATTCTGGAAATTAAAGAAAAGTGCAATACTTCCTAACTGGTTCTACAAGACCAGCATAACTCTGCTATAAAATGTTAGCACAAACAATCCAGTGGAAGATAAAATGAGTACATATCATGACCAAGTGTGGTTTACTCTAGGAATGAAAGATGGTTTAAAATTTAAAAATCATTATTTCCACATTTGAGATTATAGGACAAAAACCATATGAACATCTACATAGACGCAGAAAAAAAGCATTTAATAAAGCAACACCCACTAAATTCACAAAACTAGAAATAAAAAAAGGAATATCTAAATCTTAGACATAATTTAAAAACAAGTAACAGCTAAGTAGTAGGTGCTTTTCTCCTGGATTCAGGAAGAAGAGAAGGATGTCCTCCATAATTTCTATTCAGCAGTGTACGGGTGGTCTTACCCCAATGCGAGAAGGCAAAAGAAAGACAGTGTAAAGACTCAAAAAAGTAAAATTCATTATTCACAGATGGCATAATTGTGTTTGCAGATAATCCAAAATAATCTGCAAATAAAGTACTATAATTAATAAGTGAATACCCTAGTCTCTAGATGAAGGGCCAATGTAGTAGCAATCAACAGAAAATGCAATCTAAAAATTCCATGTACAAAAGCATCAGGTAGGGGCGCCTGGGTGGCACAGTCATTAAGCATCTGCCTTGGGCTCAGGTCATGATCCCAGGGGCCTGGGATGGAGCCCGGCGTCGGGCTCCCTGCTCTGCGGCAAGCCTGCTTCTCCCTCTCCCACTCTTCCTGCTTGTGTTCCCGCTCTCACTGTGTCTCTCTCTGTCAAATAAATAAATAAAATCTTAAAAAAAAAAAAAGCACCAAGTAACATCAAATGTCATCTGTCTTTTAGTAGATAACAGAACGGGACAAACATGTACACAGTAAGGATATAGATCTAAACAACACTATCACACCAATCATTTAATTAACCATCATAAACAACTGCGGAATATACCTTATTATTAAAACCACACGGAATGCTAACCAAGATAAACCACATGCTGGACCATAAAATAAGTTACAATAAATTGCAAAGTTTGAAATCTTAAAGTGTATGTTCTCTGATCATAATGAAATAAAATTAGAAAATAAAAGAAATCTAGAAAAGTCCCAAATATTTGAAAATTAAGCAGCATACATATAAATAACCCATGGGTCAAAGGAAGAAACCAGAGAGTGTTTTAAAAATTGAATGCTAATGAAAATATACTGCTATCGTCTGAAAGTCTGTGTCCTCCCAAAATTCTTACATTCAAATCCTAACCCCCAATAGGATGGTGTTCAAAAGTGGGGCCTCTGGAAGGAGATTGGATCATTAGAGCAGAACCCTCATGAATGGGATTAGTGCCCTTAAAAAGACACTCCAGAGACACCTTACCCTTCTACCACGCGAGGTAACAGCCAAAAAAATAAAAACCAAACAAACAAACAAAAAATGGCCGTCTGTGACCCAGGAAACCCTCACCGGATACTGAATTTGCATGATCTTGGCCTTTCCAGCCTCTAGAACTGTGAAAAAGAAATGTGTATTGTTTGTAAGCCACTCCATTTATTACAACCCAAATGGACTAGAAAACATATTAAAATTTGGGGGATGCAGATAAAGCAGAGTTTTGAAAGAAATTGACGCTTTCGATGCTTATGTTAGAATGGAAGAAAAATGGGCGCCTGGGTGGCTCAGTTGGTTAAGAAACTGCCTTTGGCTCAGGTCATGATCCTGGAGTCTCGGGATCGAGTCCCGCATCAGGCTTCCTGCTCAGCGGGGAGTCTGCTTCTCCCTCTGACCCTCTTCCCTCTCATGCTATCTCTCATTCTCTCTCTCTCAAATAAACAAATAAAATCTTAAAAAAAAAAAAGAATGGAAGAAAAATTTAAAAGCAGTGATCTAAACTTCCAATTTAAGAAGCTAAAATTAAAAAATAAAGGAAAAGCAAGTTAAAACCAAACTAAGTCAAAGAAAGGAAATATTAACTAAATAAATGTTAAGTTAAATAAATATTAAATAAATAAACCAGTGAACTAGAAAATAAGTTAACAAAAACAGAAGTTGGTTTTTTGAAAAAAATAATAGAATTGATAAATTTTTAGCAAGAATTATCAAGAGAAAAAAATGTAAAAAGAAAACTATCAATATTAGAAACGCAAAGGGGGCCTTCCTCTCAGATCACAGCAATCTTAAAAAAGATAAATAGGGGGTGCCTGGCGGGCTCAGTCAGAGGAGCATGAGACTCTTTTTTTTTTAATTTTTATTGTTATGTTAATCACCATACATTACATCATTAGTTCTTGATGTAGTGTTCCATGATTCATTGTTTGTGCATAACACCCAGTGCTCCACGCAGAACATGCCCTCTTTAATACCCATCACCAGGCTAACCCATCCCCCCACCCTCCTCCCCTCTAGAACCCTCAGTTTGTTTCTCAGAGTCCATAGTCTCTCATGGCTCGTCTTTCCCTCCAATTTCTCCCCCTTCATTTTTCTCTTCCTACTATCTTTTTTTTTTTTTAACATATATTATTTGTTTCAGAGGTACAGGTCTGTGATTCAACAGTCTTGCACAATTCACAGCAGTCGCCATAGCACATACCCTCCCCAATGTCTGTCACCCAGCCACACCATCCTTCCCACCCCCCACCACTCCAGCAACCCTCAGTTTGTTTCCTGAGATTAAGAGTTCCTCATATCAGTGAGGTCATATGATACATGTCTTTCTCTGATTGACTTATTTCACTCAGCATAACACCCTCCAGTTCCAACCACGTCATTGCAAATGGCAAGATCTCATTCCTTTTGATGGCTGCATAATATTCCATTGTGTATATATACCACATCTTCTTTATCCATTCATCTGTCGATGGACATCTTGGCTCTTTCCACAGTTTGGCTATTGTGGACATTGCTGCTATAAACATTGGGGTGCACGTACCCCTTCGGATCCCTACATTTGTATCTTTGGGGTAAATACCCAGTAGTGCAATTCCTGGATCATATGGTAGCTCTATTTTCAACTGTTTGAGGAACCTCCATACTGTTTTCCAGAGTGGTTGCACCAGCTTGCATTCCCACCGACAGTGTAGGAGGGTTCCCCTTTCTCCACATCCCCACCAACATCTGTCATTTCCTGACTTGTTAATTTTAGCCATTCTGACGGGTGTGAGGTGGTATCTCATTGAGGTTTTGATTTGGATTTCCCTGATGCCGAGCGATGTTGAGCACTTTTTCATGTGTCTGTTGGCCCTTTGGATGTCTTCTTTGGAAAAATGTCTGTTCATGTCTTCTGCCCATTTCTTGATTGGATTATTTGTTCTTTGGGTGTTGAGTTTGATAAGTTCTTTATAGATTTTGGATACTAGCCCTTTATCTGATATGTCATTAGAGCATGGGACTCTTGATCTTGGTGTTGTGAGTTCAAGCCCCACATTGGGTGTAGAGATTGTGAAAAATAAATAAATAAACTTTAAAAAAAAAGTTAAATAAAAGGCCATGATCAACTTTATGCCAACACATTTGATAATTTGTATGAAATGGACAAACTCCTTTGTTTTTTTTTATTTTTTATTTTTTTTAAGATTTTATTTATTTATTTGAGAGAAAGAATGAAAGCGAGCACATGAGAGGGGGGAGGGTCAGAGGGAGAAGCAGACTGCCTATGGAGCAGGGAGCCCGATGCGGGCCTCGATCCTGGGACTCCAGGATCATGACCTGAGCACAAGGCAGTCACTTAACCAACTGAGCCACCCACGTGCCCCTGGACAAACT